TGTGTTTCCAAATTATTTCGAATCTCGAATCATTAAGCAATTATAATATGTTGACAATACCTAATACTTTGATCTAGATCTATGCGCAATAGCTAAATGACCTTGCAAACCACATACAAAACATCTTCTGAAGTCAGACTTTTCAACAAACTCAGATGTTTTGAAAGGCCTTTGCTTCTGCTTCCATAAACTTTTCTCCAATTTAGTATCCAATATATCTATTTTAATTAATATCTGTTGCTGTATTTCTAATATTATCTGCTTCATGAACTTAAATTGTAACTCAAAATCCTCAATGACTTGTTTTTGATTGTCACATTTCATTCGTAAATACAAAAGTTCCTTTTGTTCGCATTCCCGTTGATTAGTTAGAACCAAAGCCATGTTAATTAATGTAATGTATTTTTTTTTACAACTCGTAAATGGATCTTAGTAAAATTGTCAGAATTCCTTTGATTGATTTTATTAATCTTAGCGTAATAATTTTACTCTAGGCTTCAAAATTTTAAATGTGTTTACGTATTATCAATTGAATTAAAAATCATTTGAATTTTCATTGAACCACTATAACATTTAGCTACACATGACATTGTCTACGTTATTTGTTTCTGCTATAAACCAAAGAAACAGCATTCACATCTAGAATATCTTCTTGTTTTCTTTGCGATCTTATTTGACGCTTATCAAATAAACTAACAAAACCTGTGAACCTGTGATTCATGACGCAATTCCTTATTCTTTTACCTTAAACCCAAATATTGTTCCTTCCCAGAATTCATATTTTCCTCAGCAATATTATTTAACTTTGAGATTTAACATTTTGAATTCATTTTTAATTTTTCCTGGATAACTACGTGTACTCAACAAAGAATGCAACCTCGCTTCTTTCACTTATCAAAATATTTTGCAAACCACTTGAAATCCAATCTCTTAATTGAATCAAATACCAATTAACCAATCTTTAATTATTTCTATTTTGACTTTATAAAATAATTTACGGCAATAATTGAATTAATTTTGACAAATTAAACTAACCTTAAAATTATATCAAAAATTTGAAGTAATTAATTTATTAATTACATTATCCTAATTTGCCATTCAATTGAATTTCTAAAAAACAAAAATTTCCTTTTCAGATTACAAAAAGATTATAATTACCAAGACCGCAGCAGACCCCAACGATGTGTGTGCTAACCTCCATTTCTTTCGCAACGGCACCAAATGTTACTGTCGTTGTCCCTTGGGTAACAGGCGTTGTTACAGGAATATAAAGTGTTACACGACAAATCTAGTTAGTTATAATGATTTTATTCTATGATACAAATATCAGCACACCAGACAGCAATCCTACGGGCATACAGCATACAGCATACAGCAATCAACCAGACAACCAAACACGGACACACCCAAACTCTTTTATACTATCCAATCACACTACCATATATAACTACTCTCCAAAATATAGTTCCTGCCAAATGAGCATCTTCTTTGTTCTTGCCAAGATATTTCCCTGGAACTTATCTCAAGGACTTCTGGAAATACAGGACTACTTTTGGCATAAGGTATGAACCTTCTTTGTTCCAAACATCTTGTCCTTAAAATAAGTTCCAGATAAGTTCCAAAAATACTGGCAGGATCCAATTAACCAATATCAACAACATATGTATCACTCAAATGAAAGTATAAATGTAAAAACAACTCAAACTGTATGTAATAAAATATCATATAAAATTCCTAACAAAAAGGTATTTTGTCTGTCTGTAACACTATTTATATCCATCAAAATGTTTCATCATATTTTTTTAGTATTGAACCGTTTCCCGATGTATATAATTTAGTTTATCTATTTGAAGTTATTACTTATAGAGGTCGTTTCATTGGTACATACACATCTAAAGAAATTTAAAATAAATTATAAAAACGTAAAAGCTGTTTGTGTGCAATTTTTCCCAAACTTATGTTAACGTGTATATTCAGTTTTAACTCCCGTTTATGCCTGGGTCGATGCCTAATTCACAAAACAGCGTCTACCAGTCCTCCTAAATAAGCAAAAATATGCATATCTTGTGCTGCATATGATCATAAAGGAATGTCAAATATACCGATCTTGACTCCATATATGCTAATGTAGTTAGTTTATATTCTCGTGCATGTCTCAATATAATCACATGCTGCATATCACTTATCTCAAAATATGCAGGAATACTCATGAAAAATGGCATATATGCAGATCATATGCAAATAAAACCAGTGTCAATTTCTATATATATCTAGTATACTCAACTGCTTATATTTGTCTATCCCAAATAAGCGCAGGTATATGCAGTTTCTGCGCTGCATATAATCACAAGTAAACAGCAAATATGCAAAGTATGTCTGAATATAAGCAAATATACTCAGTGACAGTACCCGTATATTCAGTCAGTATTCTCTGTGGATGTTTGTTATATGCAGCTGCATATATTTGTGTTCCATATATGCAGTTATTGTCTGCGTTCTGTCAGTGGTGATTACTGTTTATAACATGCAATTCGAAGCAAATAAACACCAGAATTGCTCGTTATTTGCAAGCAATATTCGTTTTTTTATACAGTGATGGTAGCTATAACCATATACATACTTTGCTAGTTTATTGAAAACAGAAAAATGTTTTGAAATGGTCAATATTGATCACTTAAAAATGTAGTGCTCAATTTCAGTAGGCTGTCATCTTTTAAAATTTCACTCAGGAAGTGATGTCATTGACTCTCAACTTTGCATATAACATTAGGTAAGGAGCTATTAGAATTACTAAACCAGCTGAATATTTTTTTCAATTTGGTCTATGATTAAAATCCTTTTGATGATCTCTTCTTTAGTTCTAAGTTGACAACTCCTGATAATATTTTTACACAGACGATAAGGGCTTCTTGTTTAGAAGTGATTTTGTACTTCTTTCCTATACTGTAATAAACAAGGTTATAACAGGTGAGAGTCGATGACATCACTTCCTGAAAGAAGTCTAAAAAGATGGCAGCTTACTGGGAATGAGTAATACATTTTTAAATGATCAATATTGACCATATGAAAACATTTCCCCGTGTTTGGCTAAATATGTAAAGTATATATATGATTGTAGCTACCATATCAGGAGAGAAATAGTCTGGCAAGGAATGTTCCTTTAATGTAAATATAAATAAGCCATTGAACCTCTAAGAAACATAAAGCATATCATGTGACCAAAAATAAAACTTAGTACATATGGGGTTAATATAATTATTTATCCCATCTGAGGTGAGCGGGTGAAATATATATCACCCGCTCGTCAGCAATCCCCGGGAATTTCTTTCGGTGCTTTTTTGATTTCCCGGGATATGCTTTGGCTGAATTCGATAAACATTAATTTCATACAGGGTTAAATGTTAAAAGCTGTTGAGTTTTAAAAAACAAAAATTGTTGAGAACTTTAAATTGAGATAAAATATTCATGTTTTGATTGTAATTATCCTTTGTAATTATTACATTGGGGTTCCCTAACCATTCAATGCATATTTAATTCTCATAATCTATTAAGTATAGGATAAATCAGTTATTGAATGATTGATTTTTGATACAGGGTATATCCCTTGGTAAATACAATATATCAACCCTCGGTCCCTACGGTTCTTCTGGTAGATATATTGTATTTCCCTCAGATATACCCTGTATCAAAAACCTCTCATTAAATAACCTCTATATAATTTCAAATAACAATGCATACACATGTTATTAAGTAATTATACATATTCTACCTGCCTTATTTCACAATTCCTTAATTAATTTGCAACATTTAAATCCATTATCTTTAAAATATATATATATATATGTATGGCATCTTGGATAACATACTGTACTGTAGATACTGTAGATACACTTAATTTGACGCTACTTAATTGGTGGATTTGCTCAATTTCAAGTATTGATGGCTATTTAATTTGGCGGAGTCAGGAATGAGCTGAAGTTTTAGCATAGATCTGGAAATAAACATTTCAGATTCATGTGTTCTGCTTTCAGCAAGTCTTGGTATGGCACTGTATGACCAAACAGGAATACTTTCACAAGTCAAATAATTGCAAATTACAAATTCTCTAAGGATTTTCAAAAATAGAGCTGAAAATTGGCGGATTTTTGATTTGGCAAAATTTTTCAATCCGCCAATCTGTCAAATTAAAATGGTAGCCAAATTAAGTGTATCTACAGTAACAATACACATGTCATGAAGTAGTTGTACAACTCAATATATCCTACTCCACATAAAACTTTTAAAATATTTCCTCTTTTCTCTCAAAGGTTCATCTATCTCAACCCTGGACAAGATAAATAAGATGAATCTGTCTACAGATTAATTTAAAGTTACACACAGATTTGTATCAGGTTGTTGTATATTGGAATATAAAAATTAATTCTTTGTTAAATATCATAATGTTCAGGTTTTGTAAAAAATTATAATTAGTAAGTAGAATGTCCCTTTATCACTTTGTGATATTCTGCAGCATTCAAATAGATAAATGCAAAACAGTCATTGAATAATTTATTGAGAATTACAGGGTGTTCCATAAGTAATGACTAAAATTCACGTTTTGTAAAACATTATAATTAGTAAGTAGAATGTCCTTTTATCACTCTGTGATATTCTGCGGCATTCAAATAGATAAATACAAAACAGTCATCGAATAATTTAGTGAGAATTACAAGGTGTTCAATAAGTAATGCCTGTATTAAAATATAGTTTTTGTAGAACATAAGCATTTGAAAGTAGAAGTGCTATTATTATATCACTCTGTAATAATCTGTCATATTCACAATAATATTCATATGCATTGCATGTATATAAAATCATACAACAAGTGTTTTGAGGAATTACTTTGGTTATTAGCTGAAGATATCAAAAATATATCTGGTAAAGTAATTTGTTTTACCTTGGACCTAATTATAGAAACAACAGAGTATACTGTAATTTAGGCTCTAGGATGAGATGATTTGTTATTTGCTATACAATCTGGTTATTAATTCATCAATCTTTCCTATTGGTATCTTGCACTCTTCTGGCAGCCACTCATTTATCTGTATATAACCACCTTCTCCCTTGTTGTTCCATAGTTCAGATATGATCAACCATCTGTCCACATTAAGAGCCTCTTCTCCTGTACAGCAGCCAGATCTCAATGCACGGATTGTGATGTACAGAACTACTGGCATCATCCAATAATTCTCCTGCCTGTATCCTCTTGGTATTATTCTTGGTTGTACATCAACACCTCGGAAGTCAACATCCTCAAGTTTCTTCCTACTGTCATATATCCACACGTGTCCATCTTCCTCCTTCATCTCATAGAGTTCAAATACATGATGAGCTACATCACACAGGCAACCTCCTAATGATATCTCACTTGATCTACATGTTGCCTGGTGATGTAGCACCAGGGTCTTCAAGGCATGAGAGTTGTAAGTGAAGCTATCAGGGATTAGATGACATTCCATAATGAGGAGTTTCAATAACATCAGCAGCTTATTGTGATGTTTGTCTAGTTTATGTTTACTGTTATAGAGAGATTTAGTCAATAATGCATTATCATAGACTTCATTTTTATATGGCAGGACTATATATCTACCATCCTCTGTCTGTTGCTGCTCAATGCAGAACCCAAGATCAATGTCTGTTGTATATTTACCACCACCAATCCTTATTCTCACACATGGTCCATGTAACCTTGCATCTAGTTCAATTGTATTGGGAGATAAGTAGGGGTCATATGTTCCATTCCTGCAACTATCATTCAACTCATCATTGTATCTGTATCCTTCCTCTATAATGTACTCATATAAAGAAGTAGACCCCTCCTGATGAAGTTGTCTCAGTCTGTTCAAGCAGTCCCATTCACTACTGGTTGGTCCTAGTCTCCTCTTCCCTTTGTAGTGAATACCTTCCAGTTCGGATAGACAGGTATGAATTGCACTATGGAGTAAATGTGTTATATAAGGCGTAAGATTGTCCTCATCATCTATTACTTCCATATGAACTCCTAATGCTTGTTTTATGTCATTGATCTGTGTTTTCAGATTTTCAGTACGTATTTTCACTTGAACTCTATTGTTCCTAAATACTATACTAAGTACTATACTCTTCTCTGATATTCTTACATTTGGCACTGAAAGTTGTTTAAATAAAAGCAGCAGATCACATTCATCAGGATGTATTATTTTGCTGCCTTTGAAATAACTTCCATTTGGTAGTATATCACCAACTTCAAACACAGGATAAAGTTCTCCAAGTTTATCACAAAGTCTCCTTACTTTGGATATAATCTCCTTCTTATGTTCTTTGATATCTGAGTCACTGAGCTTTAGTTTACATTTCTCATATCCAGTATTCACAAAGTCTGTTAGTCTATAGTCTCTTAATCTTGTAAGCATGAAATTCATGTCTTAACCATTCACAAAGTCCATTAGTCTGATAGTCTGTGTATCTCTGTTATAGTAAGTGTTCTAGATTTTCTTGTTAATAGAAAAGCCATGCCAGAACATGACTGCAAGTTATTATTGATATTTATAAAACTGATGGCCGATAGGAGAACGTTTTCTAGATTTGCCTGTTAACAGAAATGCCATACCAATCCATGACTAAGAGGCTTTTGAAAATCGAATTTTAACTTTTATATGAAAAGTTAAGTGTAATACTATAATTTATTATCAGTTAGAAGATATATCTTCTTCACGAGTAATGCTTAATTAAAGAAGGTCAAATGACTATCATGTTCGTCATTTAACAGGTTTACTTTATATTAATGTTTAACTGTTTTTTTTTGTTAACCAATCAATTTTGAAAAAATGCCAGTATTGATAAGTAGTTCAGCAGCTGGGAAAATTTTAGAAAATAAATTGGTCCCCTAAGTTTCTCACTGGATTTATGTAGAGCAAGGTCTTGGACTTATTTTGAGCTTGGGTTCTCTGTCCTAGCCCCAGCAAAGAATGTGAAAATTGATCCTATAGATGGCGCCCCTTACAATTTACCCTCAAATTTAAAACTAATTATTATTTTAATTATTACTTTCATAACTGAAACATAAAGACATCTCAAAGAGCTTAAATTGATCAATGGTACATTAAATTATGCATTAACATTTTTTCAATGTGTGAAAATCATAATTTATTATTATGATTGACCCCTTAAAACTCCCCCTATTTTAAAGGAGGTACTTAAGTAAACTTCCATCACTTTTGTGTTATTCAGGATTCGGGCTTATAAATATTCCTGAATATGTACAATTATGCTGTTGAGTGACTGCGGTAACCCTATGTTCATAGCTTTATCACTTTTATGAGAAAAAAATAAAACTTATTTATAATTCGGTTTTGTATTATTTTCAGATAACCCATCATCTATACTTTTTAATTTTTCCACACCTTATAACCATGCATAGTATAAATAGTTTTGTTTCATTTTAGACCAATATAGATGGCTGTAGTTCATAATAATAAATAATAAAATAAAATTTGATTATTTGAAATAATTGATTTAGCAAAGAATGTTTTGATATGCTGGTATTCATAATGGTACCCTTTGCATTCGTTTGACTTCACTTCTTACAAGAGAGCTTCGTCTTCACTCTTTCAAACTAAAATAAACCTGTGAACTCACCGCGCCAATCAGTGTTCGTCGGCCAAATTTGACCGACGTTCTATATATGGTCATTCCTTTTGACGTCATCGTTAAGCCCGGAATAGACCAATGACATGCGCATATTTAATTATAGCGCATTTGGCGTATGTTACTTCAAGCACGCTGATTGGTGGAAGAAAGGTCAGCGCGTAGGTCAGAAGTGATTTATTACCCAACATGTCACCGGTACCCGTCGTGGGGGCGGGGCTACTAAACTGTAATATGGTCTCTACTAGGCAGAGTGTAGTTTAACTAGACTCTGCACGCAGGGTATCATAATGGTGAGTTTAATATTAATAGAAAATGTAAACCATTCAACATTTCTGAATAAAAGCAAAATTATAATTGATTTTACATCATGAGACAACCCCAAACCTGATATATCTCCAAGCAATCATTAGTCCATGTTTTCACCATAATCATAATCCAATTATTGCTTTTATTACTTTAGCATGCATTTCAATAGGATGATATAATGATTTACCAATGTATAGGCTTACATAATTAAAGATTCAATCTCTCCTTGCAGGTTTATAGTAATTAAAACAATTACTACTTAACATGTATTGTTTTTTTATTGTGCTGCAATACTGAATTATGCTGACATTTTTTAGTTTATTACAGCTTTCATTATATTTATTTCATTATATTTATTGCTTTTTAAGAAAATCAAAAGGGTTATAAATATGTCACTCAACTGATACTCAACTGGTATGATGGGTAACTGGTCAATTCGTACCCAAGATAACTCATACCCAAGTCAAGTCGTACCCAAGACAATGCTTATAGTATTCACATACCGAATATGAACAAAATCGCTCAAGTACTTTTCGAGTTATAGTAAAATATGTTGAAATGGCGGCCATTTTTCAAAATGGCCACCTTCTACCAAAAGTGTTATTAGACAGTGTGCCATGCTTATAGTGTTCACATACCAAATATGAACAAAATCGCTCCACTTCTTTTCGTGTTACTAGTATAGTAAAATACATTAAAATGGCCGCCATTTTTCAAAATGACCGCCTTCTACCAAAAGTGTCAGTAGACAGTGTGCCATGCTTATAGCATTCACATACCAAATATGAACAAAATCGCTCTAGTTCTTTTCGAGTTATAGTAAAATATGTTAAAATGGAGGCCATTTTGAAAAATGGCTGCCTTCTACCAAAAGTGTCATTAGACAGTGTGCCATGCTTATAGTATTCACATACCAAATATGAATAAAATCGCTATAGTACTTTTCCAGTTATAGTAAAATACATTAAAATGGCGGCCATTTTGAAAAATGGCCACCTTCTACCAAAAGTGTCATTAGACAGTGTGCCATACTTATAGTATTCACATACCAAATATGAACAAAATCGCTCCACTACTTTTCGAGTTACAGCAAAAATCGTAAAATAGCGAGTGAAGGCAGCTTTTTTTTCAAGATGGCTGCCATGTGCTTCTTAAATACCTACATTTCTAGCTTTGTTAATGTCCTATAAAATTTTTTTTCATTTAAAACATATTGCTATAACAGTTTTACATATTGTACCTAAATTACTATAAAATCGGCACTAAAATTGCCACCATTTTTAAATGAGCGGCCATTTTGAAAATCAGCTTTGGAGCTGAACTCCTACCCCCATAATGTATATGTGTCCAAAATATGAACAAAATCAGGCCAACGGTATTTGAGTTATTGCCCGGACGGACGGACGTATCCCCGGATGCTATCCTATGTGTCTTTTCGTCTGGACATCAATCCCCTGTGAAACTGTTTTCCCCTTTGTGTCTACACACACAAAAAAAAGTTTCCAAAAAGTCTATTTTCAACCCTTCTGCGTTTACTACAAGTTATCTGAGAAGACACATAAAAATGTGTCCAAGTCCATGTCCATGTCCAAGTCAATGGATGTCCAGGTCCCTATAAAATATTCGAACATGACTGTATTCAGGCCTTCTATAAACTGTGAACAAAGTCAATGCTTCAGCAGGGTTATATTCAAGATCAATGCCCCAGCTCTGTACTAGTGTTTCGTTCAGTGCACTCAATGGTCAGTTCAGGCTGTTCCGTTCTTTTTGCAAAATTTAATTTTTATATGGATATTCGCTGGGATTTTTTGGTTTCTGGGCAATATAGAATTAATTTCAATAAGTATGAATGTAGTAGATATGCCTGAAACCAATAAAATAGGCCTAAATGTCAATACAAAAAAGTCGGGGTCAGGAGGTAAGTAAACAAATTGGAACAGCCAAAAGCTCAACCGGAAGTATAAATGAAAAAAGTGGAAATGAACATCGAAATTGACCATTTTGCAATATTCTGGTGAGCTTTCATGCAGGAGGTATTCGAAACTAGTAGCCCTGCTCTTTGGTCTATATTTCTTAAATTTAATATCAACGTTGTGAACATTTCTTAAAAAGATGTTACACTAAATTTGATTTGCCAATATGATTTAATTGTAAAACAATAGCTTTTCAGATAACATACCCTCAGAGCCATCTATAGAAACAAAATGGCTTGTTCATTGAATCAAACATACATAGTAATTGCAACTAGTGTTCTAGTGTTAGAAGTTTGTGATCATGTTTTGATAAAAAAGAACAGATTAATTTTAAAGTAAGTGAAATGAAAGTGAAATTGATTGTCTGAGTCAGAGAAATCGGGTTTCTCTTTGAAACACATTTTCACTGGCACCAGTTTCCCTTTTGTGTTTAATTTTGAATAAATATAAAAGAATAAGACACAGAAGAACTTGGTTACATAAGATATAACACATGGGAAACATTCCAGATTTCACTAGGAGTTTTCATAGCCACAGGAGAATTTTAAACATGAAGGTTATAAATAAGTACACACAACATTAAGACACAAAAGGACCTATACAGTAAAGCTCAGAATATATTTGAATTTCAGATAATTGTCATTGGTAATTTGATCTTTCTTTACAGTTAAACAAATGTTTGTGTGTCTTGGAAAGTTGCTTTAAAGATATAAGGCTTGGACACAAGACACAAAAGGCCGCTTTTTTCGGAAAATACCCATGGAGACATACAAGGGTGTTTCATAGGCACAAAGGAGAGCTTAGATACACACAAGGCTAAATAGACAGTACAGTAACACATAAGGTATTATCCAAGAGAAACATGTTCATGTAGACACGCAAGGAGATTTCATAGACACACAGGGAAATTTTGAAACACAAAAGGCTAAATAGACACAAAAATAAGACACAGAAGTACAGTGACACATAAGGTATCATCTGTTAGTACATCCGGCTGGACAGACGGACAGACAGACGGACAAGTGAATGATTGCAAAAGCTCACCATGTGAGCTTAAAATGCTCTGATATGCCTTGTTATATGGTAATTTGATTGGTCAAATCAGTATAGTAGCTATCATTATTCATAGAAGCCCTGGTCACACCCCATTGTCTTATACATTGTAGCACCGGAAGTTAACGTTTTTATACAAGTATTTTCATCAAATAAGGGCAGATTATGCATCATATCTCTGTTAAATAAAAACACACCGCTCATTTTTCAAACTTGGAGCCAGTTTACAAATCAACTTGCTCCATTTTACTTAGCAGTTATGTCCCTATCATTGAATATATGCCTGAGGTCTGTCACCAATATAGCCCGAGCTTGCGAGGGCTATATTACGACAGACCGAAGGCATATATTCAATGCTACGGACATAACTGTTGTATTACATACTTTTATATCATGGCTACGTTATATCATTGACACCACGTGTCTGTGTGCGAGTGAAA